AACAAATAAAACAAATACTGGTCAAGATGAAAAGGTTTATTTGCTGAATGAGGGTAACATCTGTGCAGATGGAAGTTGGTTCGTTCTGTGCAGGCGTAAATAAACAGCAGTCATTTGCATGAAAATCTGAAGCTCTAAAATGGGTTGCAACTTTGAGAAGAGAGAGAGAAAAAAAAAAGTTTATTACTTCAGATCTTGAGATCTGAAAAAAGTTTGGCAGGTACCACCAAATTACAAAGAGGTTTGTTGAAGATCCTGTACAATTGATGTGGGACTAAAAAGGACAAGTTAAAGATTTGAATCACTCATCTGTGTCTTGTATCAAGAAAGAAGTAAAAAGACTTGAAATTATTTTTAAGCACTGTGGCAGTGAGGAAATGTGTGTTAAAAAATGATGGGTGAGATCAATAACTTGATCTCATCATTTAAAAGTATAGAATGAAATGGCTAATGGGAAACATAAAAAAAAATAATTTTTCAACCATTTTTTTTAATTTAAGAATGTTGTGATATCCTTTGTGATACAAACAGAGTGAGCAAAAGCTAGGTGGTTGTGATGGAAATCATCCTCAAAAACTGAGACCTCAAAAAGACAGAGGTGAAGTGGTGTTTGGAGATAGGATAAGTAGTGGGGTTATGGCAAATTCCAGATAGAATTAAGATGACAGCTCAGTTATACATTGATTTTTTGGGGGAAGGTACATTTCGAGTCACATTTCAAGAAGTCAAATGTTTTCAGAAGGATTTCTATGCACAACAATGCTCCATCACATCTGGCAGAAAATTAATGAATATCTGAATAAAATAGGCTTTAAAGATGTTTATTTGATGAAGTGGCTAGTTTGTTTGTCCTAATGGAAAACTTGCAGAATTCTGAAGAGGAAGATTTACATTGTTCAACAGTAAAATCACCAGAAAAGATGAACTTTGGAGTGCCTTTCTGGATGAAGAAATACAACAGCTCACAAAATCAACTAAAACTGGTTTCACAACAAGGATCATACGTTCCACATTAATGTTGCCTCAATAATTTTGTTGTCATTATAATGACATGGTTTCAAATTTTTTGTTCAAAACATATGTCTTTGTAAACTTTGTACACATTGTATAATTACAATTTTTATTTACAAAATAATATTCTTGGAGTTTCAATAAGTTAATAATGTGAAACTTGGAAAAATTTGATCAAATTCATAATTGGGACATTGTAAGAGTGACATGCAGACTATCATCCAGTTTGCACTCCTACCTGGTCTTTTGATGAGGTTTAGCTTTTGTTCCCAGATTGTGTTTCCAGTTCCTTCTAAAGTTTTCATTCTCTTTTGCTTCCAGTATCCCCCCCCCCCGCATCTTAGTGGCATTATGACTTTGCTTGGGATGAATTGATTAAAAAAAGTAATTGATATTTTGCCTGCACATTAATAGTGGATGTACTTTTGGGAGTCCTTTTAGGAGTTTTCTGGAAATTTAAGAGATATTTTTAAAAAGTGCCCATTAATGTGAAATGCAGAGACTGACAGAAGATCAACTCAATTGTCCTGATACAAACTGGTGGAAAAAAAAATCCTCACTTTGGCTAGTTTCTGTTTTTTCTTTAGTTCAAAAAGAGAAAAAAATCAACTTTTAACACAAACTCTGATTTTTTTTATCATGTTCATCTACAAGAGTTTTAAAAGATATCACCTGTGTATATATTTATCAAAGTGATTTAAACATCTTTACCTCATTATCATTTCATATTCTTCAAGTAGATGTTGTAGTAATAAAATGGTAAAAGCAACAGCATTGAAATTAAATAGCTGCAGATTTGTTTTTAATAAGATGTTTTTTTTCTCTTTAAACAAATTTCATAAACAAATCTATTATGAGACAATAATACAGTAATATTTTATTTTTTATGAACAAAGCATAAGAAAAACAAAAAAAATTAAATACTTATTGTCAACTTTGCTTACTTCTGTTCACTCCTAAATTCTGATTTAAATATTAAGGTGGTTATCATTTTCAGGGCAAAAAATGCCTTTATTTGAATCACAAATAAATTTATTTATGAAAATTAACAAACCAATTACAAAAACCTAGATTGAAAACAAATAACAAAAGTCATTTTGAAAAACAGAATTTGTAAAGCTGAATATGCAACTTTAGTTATTGCCATTAAGTAAGAATAGCAAAGTTGGGCAGAGGATACAAGATACATGCTGATCGATATATAAAAGAGACTAGCACGTTTATTTGATCTCACAGTTTTGTGTAATATTTCCACATGCATACACACAGACAGGCAACCACTTTAACACAAAATGTTGATTTTTATATATTACAAATAGACAATTGACCTGATATAGTCTATTTAGTATATATAACATTAATATTATTGACAAACTAGAATGAATGGCAACCAGTGTTTGGATGCTGATCAAGTTTTTGCCCAGAGAAACAACTGTGATGATTTCATTAAATGATGTTCCAAGTTGGATGAATAAATAGAACTTGGTAAAATAAATTCTAGATAATTCATTTTAAGGAACTTTTATTCACAATTTAGAGGAGAGCTATTGATATCTGAAATTTAAAGGTTGACTATTAAAAATTACACTATTCAAAGATATCAGAAGTTCAAACATGGCCACAGATGCCCACAGAAGTACACTGACACATTGTACATGATTACTTTGACCAAAATGTGTGAAACTGAACAACTAATAGGCCTATTTAGGCAAATCATTTCAAGACTTAAAACAAACTAGACTAAAGATGTAATAATTGCTAAAAGATTGATTTTTTTTTTTACTGCTTATCAACACCTTTTTGTATTAAAAACTTTTGGGAGATAATGATTTTTCCACCTATAAGTCCTACATTTTAACCCATAGCTGGTGGCAGAAGAGATTGATTCATGCCTCTCCCAAGGGTATTTGTGTGTAAGTGAATGTAATGAACCCAACTGGAATATGAACCTGGCTCTCTGATTTCTCATTCCAAGCTGCTATCCATTACACCACCTGCACATACACTATTGCCAGAAAGAAGCTGTGATTAAAAGAATTAATAATAATATTATTGCAAAACACCTACATGCTTAAAATTGTTAGATCATTTGAATATTTGAGTATTTCTAAGATCATCAAGTGATAGCAGTTTGATTTGAGGGCTTACAGATGAGGAAAAAAGCAAACCACTTCAAAACACAATAGAAGTAAATCTATAGATCAAACAAAGAATGCAGATTAAAAGCCAATTTGCATGATGAAAGTGGTTTATGGGGCTGAAATAGATTAAATTAATCTCATTGTTCTTTAGTATTAATCTTAAAATGTCATTTATTGTTATTAATATCATCAGTGGTCAAGAAGAGTAAAGTGGTGTGTATGTATATATATATATATATATATATATATATATATAACTACTTCTGGCAACTTGACATGCTTAAAGAGGGCTTAGTGGCCCCTTGAAAAGTCATTCTGAGATTTCTTCAACTAAGGAAAAGAACATTTGCTCCTGTTGAAGAGATGGCTGCAAATCATAGGACTGGATTAGTAAAAAAAAACTGAATTGCATGAACATTACATGAAGATTGAATAAGAATTTAATATCTATTTGCTATCCCTCCAAAATCTCCCACCATTTTGAAGTAGACATTCTGTGAGAAGAATGGAACACTTTCAAATGTCCATTAATTGCATACACTGTAATACTTGCGACATGTTGGGTTTAAAAGCAGAAGGAAGCAATGGAGAGATCGGAAGAAAGCAGAAGAAACAACAACAGGCAGCTAAACCAGAGAGAATTTGCCTGTGGAAGACTTAGTAATGTTCGAATGGACAAGAAATGTAGCACTGATTGTTTAAAGCTTTGATACTGGCAGAAAGAGTTTGCCTCTTAAACTGCCTTGATGGATTGAACGAGAGTTGTTGAAATAATAAAAAGCAAAGAGAACAATTATTCAAATCATTTTCAAGCTGACAATATATTGTGATATTATTATAAAAAGAACTGTGTATGCTGCAGAGAAGTAGTAAAGTTTGAGAAGATATAAAACGAGCAGAGCTGCAGCCATCAATGAAAACAAAAGTATGTACTTGTGTATACAAGATAATTAAAGTCAAGATTTAATTGGTTTCATTTGGGCATTTTAAGAATACTATTCCAGAAGAGACAAAGAAGAATATTTTTCATATGCTAAACCTATTCCTGATCAAAATTCAGGAACCAAATGATATTATTAAACAAGAAAACTATTAAGTTTTACATTGTTTACCCACAGAAGGTCAAGTTTACAGCAAGGGATATTAATCTAACTTATTAATAAAATAGTTATGAATTGTATTAACTTATTTTTATGATTTCACAATATCAAGACATAATATGATACTTATTTGATGGTGAGGAGGTGCGGAAAATTTCTTGGTTTGACTAAGAAGCCTTAAAAAAAAAAAAAATTAACTCAGTCAACCCAATGACTTTTCAGCACCACATTGTGCAACATAAAAATTTCAGTTATTGAATAAACCTCAATTGCCTGACAATGACTAATGTGTTAGTGTATGTTTGGTCAAAATGATGATAATCTTTTTACAAAAAATAAATACATTCTAATTCTATATTAAATCAAGATTCTGAAAATATTAAATCAAGATTCTGAAAATATTAAATCAAGATTCTGAAAATATTAAATCAAGATTCTGAAAATGTTAAATCAAGATTCTGAAAATGTTAAATATTTTTTTTCTCTAGTTTTAATTAAAACTATATTTTTAGTAACTGACTGCTCCTATAAAAAACTAGTAAGCAAGCAGAAAACAATTATGTTTCAACCAATTTAAAATGTAATGATATAACAAGAGAATAATTCCCTTTCTTTGACCAGATTTGAACAATTAACTCTAGCCCACCAATAATGAAGATCATTTCTTCTTACAAACTCTGTATCACAAATTAATGAGAGAGAGAGAAAAGAAAAAATAACAATTTATAGAAAAAAAAAAAACACTTACTTTTAATCGCCAAAAAGGATAATTGCTGTCTGTATTTTCACGTATAAAAAAGCGCGCAGTCTTTGTCGCAGAACTAAGCATGTGTTCTGCTGGCATGCCCTGCGTTTGGGAAATATAACGTATCTGAAAACAAAGAATGAATTTGTTGCATATTTAGAATGAAATAGAAAAAGAAAGTGAAATATCAGAACATGTACCAAAAAGGATTCCATTTTAAAGATCGACTACTACGTTCTGGGAAACAATTTCTTGGTTTCAGTTGGAGAGAGAAAGTTTTGGGTTAGGGTTAGAGAGACAATCAATGGAAAGCTTCTGTTCCACACAACATAATATCCTATTTATTAACATACAAGATGGTTGCTGAAAAGTTCTTAACCTGACCTACTTTCCAAAATATGATCAAATGAGACGGCTTTTTTTTTTTTTTTGCAAGGGCTCTAAGAAGCCCCCCCCCCCAAAACCAAACACACACACACAAGTGAAGTTTAACTAGACAAATCTTAAGTATAAAGGTTGTGTATGGTGAATTGCAGTCAGACTGATTTTCACTACAGTATCCCTAACAACAACAAAGTCTGAAGAATAATGTTCAGCTTTAACTAATGCTTTCACATAACAAAACAGAGGAAAAGTCAAAAGCAATGTTTTGTGTCAATTTTTAATAGTTGTGTAGAACCGAAGCAGATTAAAGAAACAACAAAAAGTAATTTGTGATTGTTTAAAAAAACAAATACAGTAAGAATAAAAAAAAGAAGCATTTTCTTGAAGACAATATAAATACTCAAAAACGATCCTAATGACAAAAATTAAACAATTATATATTGGCAAATTATTTAAAAGAAACTAAGGCACCAACCAGAAAAGACTGTCCAATTTTAATTATGTTAAAATGTTAGAAAATATCTTTTAAGGAGAGTACCTGACAAAAATAATAGATTTTATTGTTTTTTGTAAAGATTCCGAAGAACAAATTACACTGTGGTCTGATCAAATGGGCTACAACTTGATCATGACAACAACAAAACTCTCACATCACTTATTTCCTTATTGTGAACTATATATATTTACGATTCCAATGGAATAAATTATGACCATTTTTATTATATCCTTACTCTGTCCTGGACATTGAGTTCTACCTGGATTCTTCCTCTTGGAATTTTTATTCAAAAAATATACATGTATGGATATTTATATATTTTGCATATGTATGTATATTATCACTAATATTATATATATATATATATATATATATATACACACACACACACACACACACACACACACACAAAGAAAAAATAAAATTTGGTCAAGCACTTTAGAAAGAAATTTCTAAACAGTGACTGCTACTACTGATGCAAAAGCTCTTCTATGAATTGAGTACACTGAGTCACTGGCATGTTTATTTTAAAATAAATACATAAAAATTCACCTTCCTCTCTGCCAGGAGATGATAGCTCAGGGGAAAAAAAAATCTCTGACTGATGCCAAATCAGTTGGGTTTTGATCCTGGCTTGAGGCAATCAGATGTCTAGCCACATTGATGAGCTGTGATACAGTGAAACAGTGTCTGTGGATGACACATATTCCCCCACTTCAGTTCAGAGTTCACAACCCTGCACTAAAATTAATCCTGGAAGTTTATAATCTTTTTCCATGGATGTATGTTTTTTGATTCAGAGCCATCCTTCTCCTAGACTGGTTACCAACCATAACTAGAGAGCTCAGTCTGACCTGGGTTGAAAAGAGAGATGGATTCATACATTCCCCAAGGAAATTTATGCAAAAGTTAATTTAATGAACTTGACTGGAATTCAAACCCCATTCATGAATTTTTCACTCTGAGCCACTAACCAGTACACTACCTAACACTCAACTTCATTAGAGTAAATTTATGTCTTTCTCCTCAAATGGGTTTAACTTTCTCTTGCTAATACCATAAAAAAGACAGATTGGTAATCATAATAAATATAAATCAGAGATGTTTTTAGGCAGATGAAATTAAAATTGGCGTGACAGTAAAATTATAAAGAAATCTTAAAATGTTTGAAATTATCCAAATAAAATCAACAGAATTAACTTTTTAAAAGTAACTGGAGAGAAAGAGAAAAACAAAAAAGATCTCTCTCTCTCTCACATCTAGAAAGCATTTTGGCTTATTTGTTCCATCAATTTTAAGCTTAGTCACATCCCTTTCCCGTAAGGATTGCATTATTATAGAGACATCACATAAAATCCATAAAATCTAAGATCCTAATTGTTGTTTCTTTTTCTTTCATATTTAACAGCACATTTTAGAAAGATTTGAGAGAAACGAATCTTTAAATGAAAATAATAACTTTACCTATATTTATCTATAAACAGTATACAGACATATGTTCTGATGTAAATTAAAATAGGAGGAATTTGGGTAGGAAATAATTTTGTAGATCACTAACAAATGCTTAAAAAAATAAAAAAGATAATAAAAAAAGTAGCATTAATGCAATATATTTTAAAAAGTAAATACAACTAAATGAATATAGCACAAAAAATGAGAAATAAAACAAACAATTACTGGATAAATGATTTAGACATCTAATTGCTGATAGACGTTTTGTAAAACTAATGGATGCCATTTGGTGATATTCATGGTGGACAGGATTTACCTAATGAGGACTATTTTCTGAAAAAGTTGGTCAAATAAAAGTTGAATACGGCAACTAAAATAATGCACAAGCCAAGTGTTATACAGTTCCATGCTTACTAATTAGCACCATCAATTGGGAACAAGAAAATCCTCCCAATTTTTTTTTTAAATCTGCCAATTAAAAAAAATATATAGATCATATATAAGAAAGAAATAAGTTATGTAAGCATTACTTCATGTGAATGTAGAAATTAAGACTTTGAGAAAAAGAAGGCAATCAATAGAACAAATAAAAGATGATCAAAGTGCAAAATTCATAGTCACCCAAGTGAAACATTATTTGAAATAGAATTTCATACAAAGCAGCATCTGTTAAATCGAAATGGACATTCTTAGTCTTCTATGTTGCTAATGAGTTTGATCAGTATTGGGTATTGTGACCTTGTGCCTTACTAGGTTAGACTTAATAAATACCTCCTTTCATACAAGAGAAAAGGATTATTTACCTCTATCGGCAGTAAGGTTTTATAAAACTTAAAAAAAAAAAAAAACATTACTTGAACAATACATTGTTCTTAATAGAATAAATAGCAAGAGATTGGTAAAATAATCAGTTTCAGAAATAGAAAAGCATTTTATAAATAGGATAATGTCTATGAAAATAAATCAAGAAAGAAAGAAAAAGGATTGTTAGCACTTTTCTCAATTAGTAAAAATGAACAAAATAGTTTTTTTTTTTTTTTTTTAATTTTCCTTTTAATTCTCTAGTATCTGGTTGATGAGTAGACAATTATTGTTAGCTGTAAGCAATGCTGTTGTAAGTAATGAGAAGTACAACAACAGCAAAAATAGACAAATATTTTCTGTATTACTTGAAGAAAGGCATTTTCTTTTGAGAGATATATTTTTAAAATCTGTGTGGATACATCCAAATAATAGCACAAAAAGTTATTCACAATAAAATTTATATAAAAAAAAATTACGGTTTTTTTGTTTTTTTTAAAAATAAATCTCTCATTTTTTAAAAATATTTCTATAATAAATCTCTCTCCTCCTGATGCATACAATATTAATAGACCAGCTCCCCTTCCTTTCATTATTTAATTTCTCAGACCATATACTTCATTTAATTGCAGCCAGTCAATATTTAGCTGAAAGGAAGATTTCTATTGAAATGGAATCCAGAATTTAATAAAAGACTTTACAAATAATCACATTTATTTTCATCAACATTTAAAAGAAGGTTTAAAATGACAGACTCCAGTGTATCTATGCAATTTTTGGTGTTAATAAAATAATGGAAAGTTATCACTGGATAAAATTGTTGTCAAAATTAACAGCTTAAAAAAAAAAAAAAAAAAAAAGGAGAAAAAAAAAGAGAAGACATATACTTGGTAATATTCTGTGTGCTCATTGATATTTTAAAATATTTAAGACAATATAAAAGGAGAGAAAAAGAAAAGCATCTTGTAGAAGTTTATAGAAAAGAAAAAAAAGAAATTTGTAACATTTTTTTTAAATATTTTGGTTGCTGATTAAAAAATGTTGCATTTTTATTATGGCAGATCAATTTTCAAATATCACAAAAAATGTGTACAGCAAGAATACCATGTAATGAGTAAATATGAAAGCTTAAAAAATAAAAAGAAAAGAAAGAATATCAAATGGAGCAGCGTAATTATGACAGATGTAGAAAATAATAAGATCAGGATTGATTGAAAAAATACTGGCAAGATTGCAAATTGAAGTAAAAACAAAAAAAATGTTCTTCAAATGATAAATATGATGTTCAAGTGAGCATTCAAAAAACAAAACAAATGGGAAATGTATGCGAGTCTGCAAGAATCAAAGAAATTGATATGAAAGTTTGGACATACCTGATCATATTCCGATGAACCTGGATAGAGTGGCCAGCCCAAAAACAATTCTGCTATCACACAGCCTAGTGACCACATATCTATGGCTTCACAAAAAGGAAGACCCAAAAGAATTTCAGGAGCCCTGGAAAAAGAAGGAATTTAAGAATATCGGTTTAATTTTTCAGATCATCATAAAATACTTCAAATTTTAAAAACATTTAATTTTTTTAAATTAATATATATTATAATTTTAATTATAAGAGATTATAATAAAAATGTTGAAATCACTACACAAAAGCTTTCATGTTTCAATATTTTGATTGTACTTCTTCAGGTGATATAATTTTTTCTTTGTTTATATATATATATATATATATATATATATATATATATATATATCATGTATATTATTAAAAATTTTATTATTATCATTAGTATTATGATGCTGCTGCTTAAATAGACACCATTTTAATGTCTTCTGTGAATTTTATTTGACACTTTATTGTAGCTGTTTTAATTTAACTTTCCTATTGCCTTCCCTTACCCTTTATATTAACTCTTTTTTTATTATTCTCTTCCTTCATAATGTAAGCCCCACCAAAAATACTTTTATAGGTCAATTTATTTTTTCTATTGTTTTATCTTGTATTTTTTATTCTCTCTTATTTTTTAATTTTTTTATCTTTGTATATCTGTCTGTCTGGGATATCTTGATACTGTTTCATAAAATGTAGTCAGTCTGATGAGATGAATACATTTATATTCAGTAGAATAAATTTATTACTGACTATGGATTTTTGAAGATTTTTCCTAATTATTTTTATAATTTGCTCTGTATCATACATTGAGCTCTCATATGGACTGAGAAGAGCACCATGATGTAATTCACTCTGCGAGAAATTTGGAAATGGCATGCTGCACTGCTTGTACTAAATGGCATACTGTACTGCTTGGTATTTGCACTGGAAACTAATATGAACATTTCAGTGTTTGGGTGTGAATCTGAAGACAGTGCAGAGGATTCGGAAAGAGTTTGATGAGTAATGGTGATTACAAATGTGTTTGGAGTGATCACTAGTGATGGTGGTTATGCCTCCATTTGTCTTCCCACAGGGCCTTATAGACTCAACATGGAGGCCTACACCATGACTGCCTTGAGGCAGTCATGCTGCTCTGGGTCAAGTGAGTGGCTGATGGAAGATCCTATGTCTGACAACAGGACTCTGCACCCTGCCACACAAGCAGGAGAACCCAGTCATAGCTGTCAGACAATTTCTGTGACCACATCACCCCTTACATCTGGTCACCTAACTCCCCAGACTGAAACTGCCTTAATTATTGTGTTTGTGGGAGGCACAGTTGAGTGAGAGACCAACAAAACTCTTTGTAATACCAAAGATGAACTGAAGGCAAGGATTATGGCTGCATTCACCTACTTAAAAAAAGATTGTCCAGAAGAGTTGTAGGAGATTCTGTGGTTGAAGACAATGGTGATTTTATTGAATTAATTTACTCTTTAATATTTCAAGATATTTTTGTGTAATTTTGGTAAATAAATCTGTTAAAATGAGATTTCAGTGGTATTTTCATTTTTGCATAATTTAGATGACAATTCATCCATTGCACCATATAATATATATATATATATAAGCAATAGATAAACATTCAGCAAACAATGGAATAATTGCTTGTAACTAAAGGCTCTTTGCTTTGAATACATAAATGAAACCATTAAAAAAAAAAAAAAAAAAAAAAATATTGTCCAAGGTCTTTTAGCATATTGACTTATGAACAGCATTTGTTAATTATAAATTCCTTTAGCAAAGAGAGCTAAGGAATGTAAAAACATTTTAAAAAAACATAGAAAGCTATTTCATCTTTCAGAGGTTTGTCAAGCACATAAAAGACATGAATGTCCTGCATGCATCTATTAAATTTCTTTCTCTCTTCCCAACTCACCATTTAAATAACTTAAAATTATAAAATTAAATATAAATTCTAGAAAATAATGTATAGAGTAAAAAAAAAAAAGAAAAAAAAGTCAACCACACACTTGGTGAACATTGTCTTGAGTCAAGATTTTATTTTCACACATTAAATTCACTCGTGTGAAAATTATAAATATTTCATAATCACACTTTGTGCTCTTAAAACAACCAAAATATAAGAGCAATTTTTCATAAAATCCCAATTCTTTAAAGATAGACCCAATTTAAAAATTCAGCTGATTTTTTTTTTTCTTCTTTTTTGAAAACTGAGAAAACCAATACAAAGGTGTCAATAGTATTGATGACTATATATATATATATATATATATATATATATATATATATATATATACCAAAGAACTGAAGAAATTTTGAAAATAATTCAACTCCACAACAATATATGCCATGGATTTTCTTCTCAAGAAAAGAAAAAAGAAAATCTTTTAAAATTCTTTTTTATCTTTCCATTTCTCTGCTGTGGATGAAATGATGACACTGCTTCGATTGTTTCTTTGTAAAAACATTTCAAAATCAATAAAACCGTCTCAAAGAAATTGATTTTGTCTGTAATAACCCAACACATGACCAATATTGATGGAAAGTAATAATAATTTGCATATTTTCCATCAAAAGAAACGCATGACAGACGTGAAAGCCTCATATTATTCATGCTGACTGCCTACTCGTTAATCATTGATACGGATTTAATACAGTCTTTGTAATTTACTAAGGAACATTAACTACAACAAAGGCTGAAGTAGGGTTTTTCCTTTATTTAAAAAAAAAAAAAAAAAAAAAAAAAAAAAAAGAGATAAATAGTTAACTTAAAAAAGTTTTGTTTCGACCATATATTTTACGAAGGTTCTTAGCCAAAGAAGTTCTAAAATAATTTTTAAATAGTCACAGGTGTTTTTTTTTTGTTTTTTGGGTTTTTTTTTTTTTGCAATAGTACCATCTGCGTAGAACATTTCTTGCTTGTCTTGTAAAAACTAAAGGATTTGTTTTTCCTTTTTGGTTACATTTTATAGAATACCTGAGATTAGTTCATTTAAAATTGTTTTGAAATCAGAGCTGAAATTTACTGATATGAAGCTCTACTCAGAGTTCTACAGTAAAATTAGGGGTTTCTCGTTTTTGTTTTTAGCTAACATGAGAAAAATAAATTTGACAAAAAATTATATTACCCACATTTTTTTTTTTGTTTTAAATACTAAAGCTCATCAATACAAGGCCTGAGAGTCACTCAAGGTAGAGGATTATTGTTAAAATTGTTATGATAAATGGTGTGTGATATTAATATTAGAAGAGTGAAAATTATGAGGACATTAATTGATTGATTTGTGTCATTACAGCTTATCAACCGTTTGTGGGTTATTTAAAGCCAAAACAGATTTCATATTATAGGAGAGGTGACTTAAAAGTAAAGAGAAAAGGAAGAAATTATTCAGAAAGTATGCCAACTAGATCTGTTCAGTTTACTAAAATCCAAACATCACTTGATAATCATTTCCAAGAAGAGATTAGAAACAAAGCCCAACAATTCTGAAGCACTTACTTAATAAGTTGATGAAAAGACTGCCACCAAAGTTAAGAGAATCTTAAGGGTTTATTCAACTCTTTCTTACTTGTGCAATCAGCCAACTGTCGGATAATAATATTTACAATTGATCAGCATTCAAACACTTGGTTTTTACTTTTGGCTTGAGAGAGAGAGAAAATTCATTCTTGGACATGATGCTCACTGGCAATAAAAACTGAAAATTCAGAAGAGCTTCCACCACCTCAAGTTAAAGATAAAAAAGTTCTTGTGTCTTGTGAACTTTACAGAGAAATTCTTCATTATGAATTACTGGAAATTGGACAAAACTGCTTACTGAGTAATATGAGAGGGCAGCTGGACTAATTGAATGATGTATTTGAAGAGAAAAAATCTTTGGGGGAATGCAAAGAAGTCAATTTGTAATGACAAGGCTTGGCCACTTGTCTGAAGTAAAAGGCAGCAAGAGGAAAAAAATACTTGCCTCAAACTCTTCATAGAATACACAACCTAGCTAAAACAGAAAAGGTAGCACAAGGCCATCAAAAACCAGGGCAAATACTTTTAATATTACATAATGGTAGAAACTGATGCTAGGAAAAAGATGACTATGTTTTGAATGTGACAGTCAAGGATTTTTTTTTTATAAGTTTCCTAAGAAAGTATAAAACCGTCTGCAGTGATTTTTGCCCCCAAATGCCTTTGGCCAATTCATTAACCATTTTTGGGGGGAGGTTTGTAGTTCATTTGTTCCCTTAAAAATGGCTACTGAATTAGTCAAAACGTTTAAGGCAAAAAAAAATCACTATGGACAATTTTATACATTTAGTTCCTATATATATATATATATATATATATATATATATATATATATATATATATATATAAAGAATTTCCCTTTGCCTATCATATTCAATATATAATAACTTCTAGAAAGTGTGCTATCACCTCGAATCCCACAGAGCAAAAAAATTGCCATTTAATAATGATACTAATTATATCTTTAAAAACCAAGAAATAAGAGATTTATTAAAACCTAGAAATTGGTAGCTTAATCAGTTCTAAACAATTATTGCCTTATAAATCTATGACAAGAACCGTTGTTATTTTCTGGATAGATGTGTCAACAAGAAGCCCTGTTCACGTAACAAACAGTCGATTACATGAAAGAAAATGGGAAATAGAACAACCTGTCTATAATACCAACCAAAACCTTACAAGGATGTAGGTATGGATATTTCTAGCAGGTAAATAACTCACCAGGTAATAAAAAAATAAAAATACTGAATAAAACTTCAAATATTAAAAATGTAAAATTCTTTGGGCCTTAGCAATTATTCATTTATTTGTGTTTTATTTACATGTCATACTTTCAAGTTCATTTTATTTTCAAACTCTGCACTAATTTTTTTTTTTAAAAGCAAATTGAAATCCACCTATTTTATTATTTTCCTTTTCCCATTTATTTACTAACAAAAGTTGTATACTGATGTGATTTTGTTGTTCTCATTTATGTGTTATTATGAGGTGGGTGGTGCTGAAAAGTTTTTGCACTGTAATCAAGAAGGAATTCATAAAGACTTTTTGGTCAAATTTTGGGAAGTGGGTTGTCCCAAG